CACTTGGTAAGGAATTGGTTAATAAAACGACAAAGATGTTAAGTAGAGAAAACCCTGCTATCAATTGGAATCTTATGAATGTTACAAAAGAGGAGGCTAGTATCTTTGAAGATCCTGATGGTCCACTTTGGATGAGAAGATACGCTAAAGAAAAAGATAATGATGAATCTACTAAAAAGATGGTGGATGAAGTTTTGGAGATTTTAAAGGTAAAAAGAATGGTCATAGGACATACTCCATTATCAAACCGTATACAATCAAAGTTTAACGGTAAAATATACGTTATTGACGTTGGTATTTCTTATGCTTATGATGGAAATTTGGCTGCGTTAGAGATTATTGGTGATCAGATAAAGGAAATATATCCTGATAAAAAAGTGAATAGCAACGAAAATGTCAATGATGATAGTATTAAAAATGTTGATAAAATTATAAAGGATGAGTTGTGATGATGGTGGATCGCTTTGTGAAATTTTAATGTCTAATTTCAATTGCGGAGTTATAAATTATCATGCTTTGGTTAAGAATGGAGAGACTCGATTAATCTGAAATCACTTTTCAATTAGAAACAATTTATTTTAAACGTAGAAAGAAACGTTAGATTTTATTCATACAATTAATTGAATTACATAATAGTATAAATATTCTTGATCATTTTTTTTAAATACCTTTTTTACTGATCAATTTGAAAGTACAGTATTATGAAGATATAAAGAATTAATATTATAGTACAAATTGTTTATATTATACAATTATAGTGAAACTCTATAAGTACGCATTTTATCATTAAGCGATTCTTTTATATAGATACTGCCATTCGATCTAATCTAGTGTGCAAATTTCTCAATGCTCAAGAGTTTAACAATAGCAACAAAATATAGTTCTGAGAGCTTTTGAAATACAATGTATAATTCATTTCTTATCTCCTTTGCAAAGAAGAATAACATTGGATCCTCTTTTTTCTATTCATGCATAAGATTTGAAAAATAAAACCGAAACACGAATGCATTCAAAAATACTTTGATTATAATTAATTATTCACGATAATATAAATTTAGTATTTCTATTTATCAAATATCTTTACTCATTTCACAAAATTTCTACTTCCAATTTAATAAAATTTTCACTAAAAGCTTTGTATCATCTTTTTTTCATACTATTCTTTTTTATCAATTCGACAATATAAAATACATTTCTTAAACCCTAATTCGGATTTTGCAAATGACTGCGGTTTAGAGAAGTAATTTACCTACTCCCATATTGCGATATGGTTTCAAAACTGATCATATCAGCTATCGAGGTAGAAGAATAAGGATGTATTCGAACAGTACCAGTGGAGAGAGATTATTTTAGAGCTAGAAAACGATGACATGAAGGAGATTTGTCATATCTGTTATATAAAAATGTTAGTGGTGGCTAATATATAAACTACTGTTGTTAGGCAAAACTATTTTTGGCAAATGGCGAAAGACGAAACTAAACCCGACGAAAGACGAAACTGGAGAATCTCTGGCGAAACGCGAAACTCTGGAGAAACGACGAAGCCCTGGTGAAACTTCCGGCAAAGATGAAACCACTGGAGAAAGTTAAAGATCAAATCCTCTAAGACTTTGAAATGACTGAGCCATGTTAGTGAATCAAAATATTTTTCGCGTGGCTATTAAGCACAGAATTTTGCTTATATAAAAAAAAATGTACAAAAACAATAAGCAAAATTCGAATAATATTAAAAGAAAATTATACTTCAGGCTTTTGAACTTATAATTAAATCAAATCAGCCATGTAAATTAAACCCATCTAAATATTTAAATTTTATTGTTATATTGTTAAGATTTTTTGTTTTAAAACTTCGTTGTTATAACTTTAAATACCATACATATGTAAGTAGTTTGTTAACATTATTATTACACGACAATTATTTCACGATTCTCTATTTTATCTAGCCCTAAATCTCAGGGCTAACTTTAAAAAAATAATTGAGTTATAATAGGTCAATGTAAATTTAGATCGTTGCATTGTACAGTCAAATCTGTCTAAATGAATATGGTCGGTGGACCAATTTTGTATTTGTTTGAACAGGATATTCATTAACAAAAAAATCAAATTATATAATTTTATATGTTATAATTTAACCAATCAAATTATAAAATTTTTAACAATTACAGTCAACTCTCTCTAATCCGAACCTCTCTAATCCGAACACTATTAAATTCTCTCTAATCCGAACGAAAAACTCTAGAACATTTGTAAATTTTATTATAGAGTTCGGATTAGCTAATAATAACTCTTTGAGAACCGAACTTTTTAACCAATTTTATATATAAGAACGGACAGGTCGGAATAGACAGAGTTGACTGTATGCAGATAAAGTTTAAAATATTCAGATAGAATAACTTTTATGAAACTTTTACTAATAAAATTGAGAATTTTTTATGCATTATCCAGTTAAGGAGTTTATGCAATTAGCCTTAGTAGCCAACTTGATTCTTAAATTTGTATTTATTTATACAGGATATTTATTTAAACAATGTTCATTTAGACAGCATAATTATGCACTTGTGTGTCAAATTAAATTTGTGTTAGGTTAAAATTAAATATTATATTGGGTAAGAGCCTATGTTAGAGGTAGTGATTATATCCATTCCAAAATTCAAACCTGACCATTTGTGGGTAGTTACCCAGGCAGTAATATTCATGAATACAGTTTTTACTGATGTTGATTACTTTCTGTAGTGCAGCTTCCTGAAATACAATTTCTCAGATTTTATTGATAGTTATTTCACCAACAAAGTAATTCCGGTTATTGCCATTAGGTCAAATTTAGAATTTATTGAAAAAACTTGTTGATAAAATAAGTTATTAATTAAATAACTGTTAGCAAAATAATCTGGTTGGTAATTGACTGGTAGTAAAACAAAAGATTGGTAATTGATAATATAAATAATACATGATATCAAATATATATGTAAAAACAAAACGATTGATAATTATATAAAGTGATTTAACTTTCTTAATTATTTTCTATTCTGGTTCTTTTACTAGATTTACCATCTTTTATCAGTTTACCACCTTCGTCACCTTTTATCAGTTTCGCCAGTTTAGCCATTTTAATTTTTTTTTGTCAAAAGTCGAAACTAGGTTTCGCCTTTCATCTGCGGCGAAACCTCTAGGTTTCGCCTAACAACACTAATATAACCCAAAAAAAATTATCAAGATATAAGAATAAAGCTCTAAATAATATGGCTAAAAATCGAAGTTGATTTTTTACAAATTGGCTTAAATACTCGCTCACCTGCTTCACTATCATCATAATTTTGTTCTTTAACAAATATTTCTTTTCTATTTAAACATATACCTTCTGTGATTAAAATATTAATGATTATTATCATTTATCTTTGCAAATATATAAAGCATTTACCTTCTGTGGTTAAAACATGGATGATTTTATAGCATCGCTATCCATTTACTGCACCATCTAGCTGAGCTGGGTAACAATAATCCGATCAATTAAATAATTATATAGTGTAAAAAAAAACATTTTAAGTATAAAAGAATAATTTTCTAATTTGATGCATCATTTTAGATTCTTGTGCATTTTCTTGTATTATCTGCTTTTAATTTTAACGCTCTAAAAGTGCCAAGAAAATGGTTGAGTTGCATATGTAATAAGATTTGAAAATAAAGTTGAGACACGAATATAATCAAAAAAATAACTTCTCATTAATTATTCAAATTTAGCATTTTTATTTATCAAATCTCTTTACTCATCTTACAATGTTCTATTCCCTCTTCAATAAAAATTTCATTAAAAGCTGTATATCCTCTTTTTTCATACCATTCTTTTATATAAATTTGACTATGTAACATACATTCCTTGAACCCTAATTCTGATTTTGCAAACGACTCTACAGTTCGGAGAAGTAATTCACCTACTCCCATGTTACGATATGGTTTCAAAACTGATAATCGACCTATCTTACCAGTTGTGGAGGTAGGAGAAGGGTAAGGATGTATTCGGATAGTACCAATGGGAAGAGATGATTTTAGAGCTAGAAAATGATGACATGAAGGAGATTCGTCATATCTGTTTTATAAAAATGTTAGTAATAAGTGCTTAGTTAATATGTAAAATAAAAAAAAAAAACAATTGAGATATAAGAATTAAGCTCTAAATAAGATTGTTATAAATCGAAGTTGGTTTTTTATGAACCGGCTTAA